TCAGAAATGCTGTCTAGACAGACAACAGCAGGCATTAGAGCTCGTGATCCCAGCATAGCTACCCTTTCAACTGGAACAAACTTGTGAGGAACTGAATTTGGGCTTAGGATCCTGTTTTGTAGGGGGTACTTATGTGCTAATACCAGTTCACTATTTCCTGCCATTGCTGTTACAGATGTTTATGTAATTCACTTTCTGTTCTCTACTGCTTTTTTTCAAACTGTCATGATCGCAAGAAGGGGAGATTTTTTGTAATTTTTTTTTAAAGGAAAGAAGAAAATAGTAATTTATCACTAATTTTGAGCTGTAGGATTTTAGGCTCAACTTTTTTTTGCAATCTGCATTGCAGTCTTAATTCAAGACAGTGCTTCAAGTTTTGTTATTTTTAAGACTTTAGAAACACGGAGAAGACTTGGAAATGAATGTGTACACTAGTCTGCCTTACAGTGTAGAAAATTGAGAGATATTCAGAATAAGTCTACTGAGGAATTGTTTTTGGCTCCAGCACTGGCTTTGGTGTGGTTATGTGTGATCTGCGGAGGTTGGGTGGCTGCAGCCGGTGCGGTGACCGAGGCGCTGCCTGCGGCTTGGCGATCCTGTACTGGGCTGTGTGTCCTCAGCGCCTGCGGGTGGAAATCATGAACTGCAGCGCTGCCCTGGCCTTAAAGTATCCTTTAGTAGCAAACTGTTCAGTCTCCTAAATGTGGGGGTTGGGTCGTTTGGGGTTTTTTAAAAAGGGAACTGCCAGGCTGTTATGTTTCCATTAGTGTAAACTGAAATTGAGTGGCGTGCAGCGCTAGAGAATGCTGATAGGTGAGCTCGTTGGACTGGAGACTGTGCGGAGGGAGGCAGCTCAAGAGTAGCCAGAGAAGAGCACAGAGCAGTTTGCTGCCTTTGGGTTTATACAGAGGTTGCAGGAAGGACTGCTGCCTTTGAAACAGTGTTAAAGCTGGAAAGAAAATGGCTACCAGAAATTATTGGTGCTACAGTAAGAACACGGCGTGATTATTAATGTGCTGCTTTAACTACTGTTAGAAATGTTGTGTGACATACTGCCTTGAAGTAAAAATGTCATTAAAGGGAACAGATATTTAATCCATTTAGATATAATGGATGTCATCAGGCATTCTTGTTTTAGAATGACAGTGCTTAGTGGAGAAACTAATTTCTAGTAAATATCTTTTAAAACCTCATTACTGCCTTTTCTGCACTAAAAAAATTGCTTAATGGTTTTAAATTTTAATAATAAACATAATGTCCTTATAAAACAACTTGCAGGGAAAAAAAAAACAGTAAAAAGATACTATTTCATAAAATATGTTGTATATGGTAACATAATTCTGACTTTCTAAAATTAAGCCCTGAGTGTTTTTTTTGCATGCAGCAAAGCTTTTTTTTTTCCTTAAGATTTTTTTTTTTTTTGAGATTGAAATAAAAATGCCCACCTAAGATTTATAAATAAGGTTCGAGATATAAATAAGGGTCAGGTTATAGAGTGGAATCTACTAGGGAAACTGTATTGTATTTTGATAAGGATGTAAGTGTATGCATTGTGTTGTAAACTTCTTGCAGATTTTCGATTAATGGGTTGCAGTTACATTGAGGAATTTCAGAGTTATTTTATGTATTACATCAGGAAAGGGATAGGTCAAGTTCAGTGAATGTGTGAACAATAATTTCTATCAGGATTCCACAGGTGGCAGATTGAGGACAGGTATGGTCTGACAGTAAACTGTGTCTGCTCTTCTTCAAAGTCCCATATATGTGATGTGTTTTATACCTAGAGAAGATCCCATTTTTTTGTACTTTTTTCATCTTTTGGGGTTTTGTTCTCTCTCGGACTTCTTTGACTGAAAAGGCACAGGATTCATTCAGTAAGAGGTGTGGCTGATAAACTGTTTAAAGTAATGTGTGCCAAATATGCATAAGATAAAACTTAGAAGTTGTAGAGAAATGAGTAGTATGTGAAGACAGATGTTTGAACTGTATGATGATATTGCTTAGTGGTACACTAAAGGGGATGCACTGATTTGATGGACACAATCTTAACTTAAACTTTTTTCACTTTTATGCTTAATTTTAATAAAACCTCCATGTTTTTATTAAAATTCTGTAGTTCTGGAGACAGGAGAGGACAAGACTACAAATGTGTTACATCACTGTGCAGTTTAGTATTTTAAAAACAAACCTTGAAATATAAGAGGTTGCCTCAGATTGTTTCTAAAAGCTTCTTTTTTTAAGACACAAAATGCATTTTTTTTACTTATGGCTTTTGGTTCCTTAGAAAGCACTTGGGAGATCAAGCTTTCCTGGTTTGCATTTTCAGTTACTTTTCAGCTGAGAAATGGGAGGTGCAAACTTGGACTAAAAATTTTTAAGGAGCCATAATCCAATTTCTTACGAGGTAGGGAAGATTTTGTGTAAATATTTTCTGGAATGCTTTTTTGCAATGCTTATAGTCATAGGGTATGTCACTGCATTTTGAGGTGCTCTGTGTAACGCTTACATGATGATGTATGGTGAAGGAATATATATATATATATGTATCTTACTGGGCACAGAGTGATTGTATAACTGGAAGGGTAGAGGCAGTTCCTGTACAGGTAATGTATTGATGGGATTTTGCTGCCAGCATAATGAACAGAGGCATGTTCAGAGTCCAGGATGATGCCAAGGATGTGTACAGTGCCATTAGCAGTTTGGAGTGGAATGGAGAGATAATGTCATTCTGGGCTTTAAGCTTTCCCTGTTTAAGAAAAGCTGTTATATTTAAGGTACATAAGTGCAGTAAATGAAGAGCTAGTTCATGTTGTCAAAATGAATAGGCTGAAGGGTAACTGAAAATGTATGGATGTCTATTATGCAGGTGGTAGATTGATCTGTAGCTTAAACGGGCAGAGAAATTATGAAGACAATGAATTATTTCCCTGTAGCTTATTGCTTATGGTAAATCTCATCGTGAAGAATGCCATTCAATTTAGCAGGGTATTGATGGACTGTAAACTTTTTAATATCAATGATACTTAGAATGTTGCATCCATCTTAGCTAAGGGGAGAAACTGCATTGATAAGTAACCTTCAGAAACAACATAGTAGTATTTTCTCTTAAGGTCTTAAAATTCTATATGTTTTCAGGACTTTCATCTTCAAACTGATGCTTCAGTTTAGTGCTTTTATGATGCTTTCATTTGTGTGCTTATTGTTACGTATTTGCTTACTGGATAATGTATGCTCAAAGTCAATAGCTCTCAAACTGTTTGTTTCCCCTTGCTTCTCTGTAGACATCTTTGCAGCTTTATTGTGTGCCTGTTGTGTACGTCATTGAATGTTTGCATCTGATCTCTTTACTGATAGAGAGGAAAAACAGCCTTTTCAACCAATATGTTTTGGTAGTCCAAACTCCTTCCTACCTAGAATACTTTTTGCTGTGATGACTTTTCAATTTTATTTTTTTATGGTATGCACTTTTTTGAAATAATAATTAAATCTCTCGTTTGACCTAATTGATGATATAAACAGAGGTTCCTTTTTTTCCATTCATGCCACTCTATGAGTCTACTTTTTTCCCTACTGTGATATTCCTATTAATGTCGCATTCAACTACTTGTAATCTTGTTTGGACTGAAACAGCTTCCCAGTCTGAGGTATGATCAGTTGTGTTCATTTCCTATGCTGTCACACGTTCCCTTGAAGTGCTTCACTGTCCCATATGGAGTGTTGTCAAAAAGCAAAACTTTCTATGAGTAGAAAAATAAGAGATTTCAACATTTCCACGTGAAAGCCCTACCACAGCTTTGGGAACTGTGCGTGTGGCTTTTACTGTGATGAACAGACAGAGGAAAAACTGTAACTTCTTTGAACTGTTTTTCAGATAACTCTCAAAATGTAGCAGGAGATTCAAAATGCAAGAGGCAGTCTTCTCTCTTGCAGTTTCTTGCTTGCTTTTGTTCACTCACTGCAGATTCTTTGAAGTCAGGAGTATCTCCAGTAATGACTTAAATTTTGTCTCTTCATGTTATAAAGTGTTAAACTTTTGCTTAATTTAGCTTCTGAGTAATTCAGACTCTAGTATAGTGCCTGTTCTTAAGTATTGCTCTTCATTAACTATTTTAAGAAGAGTGATTACTGCTTTTTTCTTTACAAATTTAATTTTGGTAAATGGGATTGTGGCATATGTAATTCAGTTGGTGAAACTACAGTTGGAATAGCACAGATTGAGAGGTTCTACAAATTCTCGAAAGGGATTAATTTTGTGGTTTTAGAAAAACCTCATGTTTAAATTCAAATGATTATTTAATTTACACTGGCTGTTAGTTCTAGATATTTGTGGCTACTGAATATAGATTAAGCTGTTTTTATACTTTTTAAATAGAAATCAAAGACAATCAAAGCTCCTTCTGCAAATAGAAAGCAGGAAACTACGTTTTGTACAGACAAGGTCATTGCTGACTTCTTGTTTGAAAAATGGCAGTATAGGTTTGTATTTAAAGAGCTTTTCAGCTATATCAATTGATGTAGGACTCTCATCAGCTAAGTTTTTGCCTTTTCAGTCATCTGAAATTACTTTATCCCTGATACTGCGTGTACAATTTTGGCAGGAACTTCTGGCTTTCTTGTAATAGCCTTTTCTTAATAATCTCTGCTTTCTAGTGGCTATTTTTTCCTGCATTGGTATTTAGGGTTTTTAGATTTTTGTAAGAGTATAGATTTTTTTTCCAGAGCTGCAACGGATATTAGAATGAAATTTATTCCATGCCCCACACCCTGCATTTGAATTTAATACTGGGATGGTCATATCCTAATAAATGGAGCTGCCACTCTGGACTAACTAATCAAATTTTCTAAGCCATTAAGTCAAGTCTACAGTTGCAAGCCTTTTTGCTGTGTTTTGTCAAGCTGGTGGAATTGACTGTTTAGCCACAGTTCATATCAACAAAAGTAGTTTTTATAATGTAGTTGTTCTAGTCTTTGTTTCTTCCTCTTTATTTCTTCCCACACAGGCATAATCAGCTATAGGAGCAAAACTGGTTTTGTGTTAAACAGCAGCACACAGCAAAACAAAACCCGTGGAGTAAACCACCTAAGAAGCTTCCATGTGAATTACATTCCTAGCTGCAGTCATTCCAGGAGAAGGTGGTAGTTAAAGGTGAGGGTGTCTTTTCCCAGATGGATATGGAAATGTCAGTTACAATGCAGATTGGTTATGAAATAAGGGCTGCATAGTAAACAAGTGGGTCAAAACTCTTGTTATGATTACAACAAACTTAAGTCATTGTACACCTTTGCATTCCAGTCTTTCTTAAACTTTTTCCTCGGAGAGGGAGGGGATGTGCTGTTAGGAGATACTTCATTATAGCAAGAGTTTTCAGTCCATCTTTTTTTGGTTAGTATCACTGGGGGTGCATTTGTGATCTCTTTCATCTCTAGCACTTAGGTTTTCTTCCACTTCCTGTTCACTGGCCAGATCAGAACAGGAAGCTGCTTGTCAGAAGCCTGACCATTTTACAGCAGTCCTTTTTCCCTGCTGTGGTCCCCCTTCTCACTCTTTGAATATCGAGGCCTTCAGGTGAATGCTCTGTAACTACACTTTTTACTCAGTTCTGTCACCCTTTTCATGCCCTCTTTTATTACCTGGTATGGGAGAGTGACTTTAATTCCCACTTCCTTTCCTGATAATGAGAATTAAGACAGGCAAATTGAAGCAAAAGCATTTATGATGTTGAAATCTTTGTCTTTTCCTAAGGAGATTTTTGAAGAACTACCTTTCTCGAATCTGCTGGTAAAGAATGTCAGGCGCTCAGTTACTTCAAGTGTCATCACCCTTGAAATTAATAGTAGGTGTTAGAGTTTGTAATGGAGTGAGAGAAGTCTTATTTGACAGCAGAAAGACCTTTGAGAGGAGATGTGAGTGCTGGTTAACTGTACGTGGGTGGCTTTAAACATTAATCTCAATGCTATCAATGGTTTGGGCTAAGATCTGGTGTCCTGTGGGTTGTGTTGTCTTCATGAAGATGTTTGCATGACACTGCAGGTACTGCCATTGGGTGGAGCTTTGTGCATCAGAGGGTTTGAAATCCCAAAAAGGGGGGTTAATTCTGTAGGGCCCTTTGAAGTTGGTGCAGGGCTACAGTGACCAGCCCTTTGGTCCTTCAGCAGTTTACTTGCTGGTGATCTCTTTGTGAAACTTGTCACCTTTCCTTCAGCTGGACAATATCTAAATTATGATGGCCCATCTTCTCTTTTTCCTTCTTTTTCCCTCTGTGCCAGATGTAGAATAATCCCAGATTTATCCCCAGCTTGGTTTGTGAGCTCCCTGTGATCCAAAGAATAATGAAATGCAAGAGTACTTGCATTTAAGTTTTCTGCAAAGTGCACCTTGAAGTACATGTCCTCTAGATAAATTGGTAACATAAAATGGGAAGTCTTTCCCTATACTAAGTCAGTTGATGGATCCAAAGTAAAGTGTTCCTATAGAAGGGCTGTTACAGAGAGTGGTGGGTGGTGCGACACTGTACTGCTGTATCACCCCAGTGATCTGCAGTTGTCTGGGTTCAATCCTTTGGAAGATTCTGTCTGCACTTGAGTCGCAAGCCATGAAATCGGTGCTGAGAACAGTTATTGCTAATGTTTCACTCATTGCAGAGTTTAGAAGATGTAGGTGTTGAGGCCATTTTGCACGGGAGCAGAGTCATTGTGGTTCTTAATTAAGGAAGTGTTAGATTGGGGTTGTTGATCCCCAGCCAAAGTGCACAGTCTTACTGACATGTCTGGTTTAGTGCTCATCATCATGTTTGATCATGTAAGTCATGACCATTGACTTTCTCATTTTATGGAAGGTGTTTTGGCTCTTTGTATATGGAGGCTGTTATTTTTGTGGGAATATAGCTGTAGCTTTACATTTACTTTCTGTAACATACAGTAGAGCTCCACTGCAGTTTGAAAGTAACACTTCTGCTTCTCTAGGTGAATGAATATTACTTTAAAATCTGACCAAAGTATTATATTTTTTTCTGTAATAAATCTTACTTGAGAAATGAGTATGTATATTAAATAACATTCATGCATAAAGCTACAGTTTAATATGATGCTTGGGACACAGTCCTGGGGCTAGGAAAAGGAGGGAGCTCAAATACTTATCTTCTGTTGCTTTATATTATCCAGTCAGACTTTTTTGAAAGGTCTGTCTTCCCTTACTGTCTGTTTTTGTAATTTAGGCAAGGGGCTTTGAGACAGTTGCAGCTTGATTGGGGAACTGTGAATCAAAAAGCTGTGTGTGAATAAAATGAGATATGGACGGTGTATGATGATAGTTATTTCATTCAGAGTCACTTCTGATGATGCCTAAGCATTTAGTCTAGATAAGAACAACCTACCCTTTTTGTAAAGCTCTGTGCAACTAGTTGTGTCTTCAATAGTAGACCCAGTTCTGTAGAGGTACCATACCCAAATCCATTCTTGCTTTTGTGCAGCTTCAGTTGCTTTTGGAGTCTCTTCAGAATTTCCAAATAGGAAGTGGAAAATGACCTTGTGTAGTTGGTTCTAAAGATACATGAGCAAAACAAGTTCATCTGACATTGATCAGTTTTCATGCAGACAAATAAATTATAATTTTTAAGTGGGCCAGCTGACCTTAGAATCATAAACACAACTTTGCCTTAAAAAAGATGAGAAATTAGAAAGGCCCAGGCTTCAAGTCCTCCAACACTTATCTCAGATATGTTGAAAATTTTTGCTAAAAAAAATTTTTTTAAGCGTTCATTTGTAACAATTTCCTTTCTCTGTATCATTCCTTGTTCAGGGACCTTGAGATAGCTGACTTTGAAGGCACTAGCAGCAAATGCAGAGCTTTTTTTCCCATGCAACTTCTTTTCCCCTGTTCTGCCCACTTAGTTTAATAGCATGTGTATATTTGATACAACTTCTTGGTAGATTTTTAAAATTAAATGGCAATAGCTGTATTATTTGGAAATTACACGTGTTTGAGAGAAGACCACTGGCATGTTGATACTTTTACCCTGAGATCAGAAAGATAGAATACTTTTATGGCTGGGGATTTCTTACCTCCCTGCTTTGCTAATCCTGTCTCATAGCCTAGGACACAAGCAGAAAACAATGACAGCTGTACAGTAAGTTCTTGTTTTATTTTGCAGGTTTGTTTTAATGTGGAAGTGGATCTTACAGCGTAATGTAAATCAAACAAGCAAAGGTGAGTAGGAGTTTTGTGTTGGTGGATTTTTTCCCAAAAAATGCCTTTTGCATATACTGCTAAACGTGCAGAAAAATGATCAGTAAAAATTTTCTTGAAATTTGTATCTTGATTACTGTAATGTATGTGTACGTACTGTAATGGTGCAGTGTTACTTCTACAAAACCAAAAGAGGAACAAAAGATATTTTCCCCATTATTTAATATTATGATGATAATAATGTTTTTCTTCCATAAATTATTATAGTTTAAAAGCTATCATGGTGTTCTGCTAGTTGTTGAGAGACAAAATTATGAGCGCTTTAAATAATTTTGTTCTCTACATATTATCCACCTGGTTTCAAAGTACTGAAAGTGTACTTTGCACTGTAAAAGCAGCATGTTAAACTTGCACTTAATATATTAATAAATAACTGCGTGAGAAATTTGACCAACTATCAGAATAGCATTTCAAGTTTTAAACAATGAAATTCTGTTGGAATTTTCTCCTCTCTTCCTGTCTTTAGGAACCCATTTGCAAGCTATTTGAAATACAAAGGTTATGGAGATTCACTGCTGGTAGAACTTAAGTGTTCATTTGCAATTGCAAAGTGTCCATCTAGGAAAAATTTCCTGTAACTGGCATTTTCCTCCTTCCCCCCACCCCTTTCTCTGTTATTTTGAGAAAAAGAATTAAGAAGCTTATCTTTTTCTCTTCCATTTACTTGCTACTTCAGGGATAATTTGAACTATAAAATTAATCTTGTCTCCATATAATTATGTGAAACATATGACAATGAGCTTTAATCCGTTTTAGCTTGAGTCTTTCAAGAGAATCTTTAAGGTAAGAATCTGTGGTAAGGCCCCACAGTTCAGTAAGTTCTCTACTTCGGAGACATGGCGTGATGGACTCAACTAGAGAGACCTGTGTAACAAACCAAAGCTGTCTCCTCAAGTTTCCTGCTTGCTGTTTGACTTAAGTGCCATCTCAGAATGTAGCTGCTTGCAGTGACTTGATAATTTGAAGAGGTGAGAGGGAGATCCCATTTGCTTAAATGAGTTTGTTCCTCAATTCCAAGCTCCAATTATTATGTAGACTTAATATTGCTTGGAAATTGTAGTATGTACATATTAAAATAGACATGAACTGCTTTGTTCATATCTTCTGTTCCACTAAGACTTCTTCAGAGCTGTTGCTGTCAACTTTAAAATACTGATTATAGAAGAGTGCTTTGTGGGGAATTTAAAATAACTCTTCTATTGAGTGTTGATCTTTTGTATAATGTATAACTGATTCAGGACTTTGATTATGAATTGTCTTCTGAACTGTGAACGATTAAAAATAAGCTCTACTGCTGTGTTATGCATATACTTATGTGTAGAAGATGTTTACTGCCTTAGCCTGACTTTGCTGGTTTCTGAAATGCTGCTTTGAGAAAAGAAATGAATGCAACTCTGCAAAAGGAAATACTTCATCTAAGGATGAGTGTAAAACAAGAATTATGGCTGGAAAAGGGACTTGAATTGACAGTAAAATTAAATAAAATTCAATTCAGTAAACTGTTCCTTGTGCCTTCTAATGCTTTCCGTACTTAAAGCTTGCTATTTATGCTCTGTTTCTTCTTAATTTGTGTGGTTATCTAATTACTCATTTAAATACAGAAAATTAGTTGAAAAGTCTGATGTGTAAATAACTGAGTGCAGTTTTAAGCATGAAGTCTTCTGAATGAAACTCTGAAGACCTTTCATCTTAATGGTGGTTATCTATATTTAGTAGGAAGAAGCTGGTCTCTGAGGAGAATGCCTGTAGGATTGCATTCACAGCAAGAGGACAGAAAAACCTGTAAAAGAATAAGTGGAAACAGTGTTAGGATGTTTGATCAGTATTGCTGTTGCTTGGAGGAGATCTTGACGTTCCCAGAGTTCAGTAAAAATGACAACTGAGTAGCCAATAAATCAATGAAATTATTGTGCTCTCTTAGGGAGCAGAACAAAACCCAGATCCAGTTCTGTGAATTTGTGGCGTACCGTGGCTGCATTGCATTGCAACGTGTATTGCTTCTTCTAGTCAGGTGCCTGAAAAACTACACAGAAGAGGTGAAGAAGGTTCAGAGAGGGGCAGCAGGGATGACTGAAAGAGTTTATTTTCAAGAACAACCTGCATTTCCTAACTGCCTCTGTCTTCAGTCTCCACTCATGAGTGTAGTAGCTGCAGCATCTCAGAGACTTCTAAACAGTAATTTTCACTCTCACAGCTCAGTGCAGACTTGCCTTCTTGTGTAAGTTTCTGTCTTTTAAAGCAATAGCTGAAAATGTGATTTAGTTATTTGCTCAAGCATTTTTCTTGTACACTTGACCATAATGCATTTCCTGATGACTCTGCTAGTGTGCTTTCCATGTAGGGTTTGAGTTTTGTTTTGTTTGTTTGTTTTTGAAAAGGGTTTGGAGTTTTGTTCTTACAATTTCACATCATTCACATTCCTAAGGCAAATATAAAATATATAATATCGTGACTTTTGTAAATAAATGAAGAAATCTGTTACTAGTTAAAAACACACAGGTATAAGATACTGTTTACAAACAGTGAATGTGCTTTATTGGGGTAACCATAGTATTTGTTCTTAAAATGTCTGATTTACAGACTGCATTTCTGAACTCCACAGGAGAATCGGTCTTGTTTTAAATACAGGAAAAAGTTAGGAAAAAGTAAACTTGGTCTCAGTGTGTTAAAAGTGCAATGGGCCACATTTCCATGCAGCAGGATAGGTTGCAGAAGTTGCATGCTTGTGCTGAATTTCCCTGTAATTGTGTACAGTGAAGTGAGGTCATATTTTAAGCTTTTTAGATACCAGGCAAAGCAACCTAGCTTCCAGAAACTGCCTTGAATGTATTTAGTATTGCTTTACCTAAAAGTAGAAGGGTGTAATTAGTGAATAGTGCCAAGAATGCTGAAGAAGGATAGGATATATACAGAATTCTGCACAGGCTAAATTTTAGTATGTGGAATTTTTGTTCCCTTGGCTCAGAGAGGATCTCATATAATTTTATCTTGTTCATATTATCCTGGTAGCATGAAGTTGAGTTTTCTGCCATTAATCACTTCTGGTGATGACTTTTTTTGTTTTAAATTAAAAAAATAAAGAAACAAACACCAAGTATTAGTGGGCTGACCTGAGTTTTTCTTCTCACTTGTTTTTCTGGTCATGTGTGGTGTTACATAGGTTTGAGTCCTTTAAAAGCTCTGATTTTGTATTTTCTTCAGCATGTGCAATCACCTTCTCCAAGTCAACAGAATTTTTTGTTCTTAATCTGAAAATGTACAAGATGGCTTTTTTGGCCTTGCCTGGTACTGCTACTTAGAATCTTACTGGCTTTTTAATCCTTGATAACTGAAAGAATGTAGGATGAGAGCCAGTTTGTTGATAAGGAGGAGTGAATATCACTAATGTATTTCATTACTCTAAAGTTCTGAGTTAAATTAGTAAAAGCAGAGTGTTTGTTTCAGCTAGTGTTTTTATAATTGGCAAAGATGCCATGCTTTAAAAGTTGAAAAATCTGTTTACATTAGCAGGAGATAGAGTCTGAACATTTGTGATTACATTAAGGTTTGTACAGCAAGTGGTTATCCGCCAAAAAAGCAAAAATCATGAGAAACTGCTAGATGTGTTTCAGGTCATGCTGGATAAAAAGAATGACAACTTTTATTCAATATAACAGTAAATAAGGTCAGAATTGTTCTGAAGTTGAAAGATGCGTTGTGTTAATTTGGTTAAAGTATTCTTAATATCATTTTTAAGAAAGTTGACACTTCACAACTAGTTCATGCAGGTAACCAACAATATTGTTTAATTAACTTGTGAAATATTCCTGTAAAAATAGTCAAATATATCTGATTTCTAAAAATTCCTTTCAGTCTGATTGTGATCTTTACATACTAATGAATGTAGATTGAGTGGGTAGCTTATCCAGAAAAAAAGCTGGATATTTATACCTTATGAGGTCTTTTATGTCAGTTACAAAATTCTCTTTTTCCTGCAATCATGAAAATAAGACCTCTCTGGTGATATAGTTGTAATCATTGGGAATTTGCATAACGTTATATAAAACACCTCATTGTTTTATTGCTATATATTGGATTTGTATTGGAAAAAAGGTTTCTTTACCCAACTGCTTATGAGTGGTGTCTGAACAAAAGGACCGAATTGTTGGAAAAACCTTTGTTTTACATTGAAGATAGGGTTTAGATTTTGATATCTGGACTCTGCTTTGATTAATTTTTAAATGTCTTGTGCTAGCAGAGCGTTGCTCATATTTGGCAGCCGCAGGAACGTTTTTCAGTTCTGTGTGCTCTACACATGGGGAATAACTCAATTTGCAAATCCAAATTTCACCACCACTTGGTGGCAGTACCTGGCTTCGAAAGGACTTGTCTCTGAGCAGATACGGTGCCTGATCCCGTAAAACTGTAGGTTAAGGAGGAGTAGATTAGTTTTTAAATTTCTGAAAGTTAGTTATGTGTTTTAGAAATGAAAATACTTTTTATTTAACCCACTGGAAGGATTTGCATTTGTATGTCTCTATGGAAAATCTAGCTATCATGTCTAATTCGCAGTTTAAGAGTATTGCTTGTGTTAATAGTATTCTCAGAAGATGTGTTTAATGTTCCCCAGTTGAATTATTTTAGCATTTACTTCTAACATTTTGCTTCAGTTGAGTAGTTTATTTCAAGTAATTTTAGAACATAAAATTTGCTTCATGGTAGAATTCTTTATAGTGCTGCATTCTGCAGTTTAATAGATGACTGTCAAAGCTTCTTTTTTGCCTTATGAAATGTTCTCTACATTTTTACTTTTTTTATTCATTAATGTAGATTTTGGGAAAAGATTCCCCAGTGGATTTTTCTGTCAACAAAGCTAGTGAAAGTTTGTGCCCTTACCCATAGTTGTCACCTCTCGACTGCTGATTCAGAGGTGTTTGGATCCCAGCCTTTAGAACTGGGTCATGAAATGGTTAATAAGGTGT